ARWATATATTWTGTTCAAGTCTCAAGACGCATGATGYTTRACTAGAGTTSAACTTCGTTGCAAAATACTCCTATCCATGGTGCTTAATGTTTCCTTCGAGYTACTCTATGATTATTTCCTTAAATGGATCACAGCATGGAGCAGGAACCTTTTGGCATCACCTCCAGTGAATTTTCAATTTTCATTGCATTGAGGTAAACCACCAGAACTCGAACAAAACAGTTAGATGAACTYATGATTTTAGGAATAGCTTGTAACTATGCTCATGAGCAGTAAGTAGAGTGTGCCAAAACACCTGCTTTCCGGTGAAAGATCTAACSGATYMTTTGGAATTGTGCTTCTMCTTCGAAGAGATGCGCAATTAAAAAAGCACGACAAAATTCCCAAAATCCGTCTTGTTCCTGAGTAGGGAAGCTCGTATCTCCATTGAGACGCTTCAATCAAATGTCAAAATTAATGATGTCACCAAGGGAAATGCGATTCGCTTCATTGGCATGCTCCAGTCATTAAGAAAACTTTACTGCAGTTGCACCAGTACATCTACCAAAAGCGAACGTGTACAATTCGGAGCAAACCAACGCAAATGCTACATCTTGGAAGATTRCAATCGATAGTGAGAAACTATGCATTGTGCTCGACGGTTCCCTTTCCTCATCAACAGTTTTAGAGCTKATAGCCATTCGTTGTGATAAAAGTAGAATGTCCTTTTGTTATCAATCAAAAAATCAAGCAACGTCTTTGTGCAGAATACCCTTTGACATGCATCTAACTCAATTGTTTCTTGTATACGAAATCCAATCAATAGAAAACTTTTGCGATCGTGTTCCTTGTGTTGTTTGGAATTGTGTCACCCATCGTTGTCTGATTGCGCGAGAAGCTCTAGCATAGCGCGTCCCATTGCACATCCCACCTTTACAAAGATATCAAGTTTGCCTTTGTAATGATTTGTTGAGGATGGTTGAACGCTACTTTTCTTCGAGCTGTCGTCCTTCTTTGCTTCGTCGTGCACACAGTAAGGATAGGTATAGACRCATGCCGTGTTTCCAACAAATCCTGGTCGTTCTGGAAGGTTCATCTGCGCCTCAAAGACCAATCGTTCCTGCTTTTCGATTCGCAGCGCGGCCTCCATATCTTTTTGCTTTTTCGTCTTCTTTTTCTCGTCTATCTGAGGGCTCTGCCCAGTTRCATTCTCCCTGCTTCCATCTCTGGTTTTGCCGTCCGTAGCGGTCTTGGCAGTGGCAATRGAAGTTCTGTTCGGAATCTGYCCCAGCGTGGCCAGCACGAATTTCGCCCGTGGGGCATTGAAATCACGCTTCAGCGAAACCACAAATCGTTCAAGGTTGGCGGCGTAACGCTCTGCATAGACGGGATCACTGTGGTATGTGTCACGATCTCCTTGCCAGAAAAAAAATCCAGAAATTTCGTACTCGTGCTCGGTTCTGATTCCAAAGATTATCTCGTCTTCGGGATCGTCGTATCCCATATATTGTGATAGGTTCGTCAAGACAGACTTGGCCCGAGCGACATCCCCATCGTACTGAGCTCCACCATACCACATGTTTTTCGCGGCGTTTTGTGTACTATTGTGTGAATCGCCAGGAACCTGATCGTCAATACTATTTCCTGTCTCACCAATTTTCCACCGTCGGGGGTATTGTTTGTATCCTGCATAGTGCCAGCCGGTCGCATTTTTGTCGTCTTGTCCTTGTTCGACAGAAAACGTCGGACTCCCGGGAGGAAGCAAATCCCAACCGAGTCCTCGATTTCCGACGCCTGCAATCATTGAGTCGACGAAATAAAGTGTGAAACATCGTTTAGTTTTTTGAATGTTTGATTGGTTTTTTGATTCGATTCAATTCCACTGAAGTCAATGTCGAATCCCGAGCAGCCAACGATCACGGCATTCTCCCGGCACACCCACCGATGGACTTTCGCAGCCCTTTTACTTCCATTCATGCTAAAATTATAAATACTTACAGCTYTTTAGCAACAGGATATCGTCATCGTTACCCGTGTCCGCTATTCCTAGCTCGTAGCCTATTCCAATTTCAGGGCCGACTGTTTTCTGGTTCTTCATGCTTAGCCACATGTTTCTTTCRATTCTTGTCTTGCTCTCGGGCTCGGAACCCGATGCAAAGACGTATCGCACCCGCCGCCGAAATCGAACTGATTCCACCTCCMCAAACGAGTCGTCGGTAACGCCATTCGTTTTGGTCTCGCCTAACCGCGTCTCGTTCGCCTGTGTGRTTCTATCGTCGTGGAGATCTCGTTTCCAKGTCGTTTTGTTCGTTTTTGGATTCCTCGTCACAAAGAACGGATATCGTTTCTTTGCCTCGTCCGATACTTTTCCGAACCCGACCATGTTCGATTGCCCCATCAGCAAGAATACCCTGGTCTTCTTTTTCCTCTTGTTGCCGTCGCTTGTTCCCCCGATGATTTTACTAGACTCGGTCGTTGCCAAATCTGCCACGGAGTGGATCGTAGCATTTGCACTCGCTTCGACCGGTYCCATCAGGGTCTGCGGACCACTTGTCACTTCCACTAAGGCTGCCGTTTTGACCGCGGTTCGGACCGATCCAACCTGTCGTCTTTGCGTTAGGCAGAGATACAACCCCATGGCAACTATGAGCGCCAGGGATGTAGTCTTTCCYCGCCGACCCAGAAATCGTCGCAATGGGAMCCCCGTGCTTGTAACGTCKTCGTCCATTCTTTCCAATGGCACCGTATGTTCCTTGTGAATGGTTGCACCCCGTATCGTCTCTTCTTCGTTTTCTCGGTGGAACAAAATGCTACTTGAAAAAAAAACAGTTGCCGGACAAAAGAACTCGTACGGTACGATAATTTTGAATTCGTGCCTGCGCTAGCTTCGACGACAGGCGCTGCTGGTTTCGCAGTAGTAAAATGAATACGAAATAGTTCTACCCGGTACGAGAAAGAAGTAGTAGTAAAATATTTTTAATTTCTTTGATTGCGCGTACCTACCGTACGAGTGCGTCGTCGTACCGCCGCTACGCTAMAAGCGAGTCGGAGGAGCCAACCAGCAGAGCATACCAGTAGGAACGCAAATGTGTGTGTGACAGGTCCGGAATCAGTACAAATTGTACACGGCTCTACGGAGAGAATTATACACTTCATTTGCGTTCGCAACATGAACCTGTCTCACTTTAAAAAAAAACATTAAGTATTTTCATATCGAAATATTTGGTAGTACTAATTTGTACGTAGGATTCTACACACCTTTGGGATACTGAGGGCTCTTAAGAAAAAACCACTTGGCCGATCATTCTAAGAATTCCGGATCCCCTTCTTCGAATTATAATGAAGTTATTCCAGTACATGTGTGGAGTGGAAGTGTCCCTAATAGCTCTGTCTGGAGGGTGTTGCAGACAACCCTCATGCTGTTGTTTTTTTTTTACTAGAAAAACTGCGCATTTTTTTGGAATTATAACCTGTCACACATTCGGTCCACACATTTGCGTTCCTACTGGTACCGTACGGTACGGTGGTAGTAGCAGGGCGGGGAGCCTACCGTAGATGGACTCCTATGGTTCCTATTCTAGTAAGGTACGAACTGTGCTGAAGGTCTATTTTCTATTTTTTCAGAGAAAACCTCTGGTTACGTATCATGCCTACGGTACGATACGTATGTACCTACTGGTATGTACTACTGTAATTCCTGATTGTACCTGTGGTACTTGCGAGAAGCAAGGTATGGTACTGTACTGTATGTCCATACTAATCTATCTCGTCGCACATCCATGCTGCATACGCCCCCATCATCATACTACTTCGTAATCATATCGTGCCCTACCCACTTCCTCTGACCTGCAGTATAAGTGTCGTGCGGTACGGTATGAGGTACTAGGAAGTCAAATGTGTTGCCGAAAAGTGAAATAGGTTATGAGTACAATAAAACACGTCAGTTTTCAGCAGTGAGCCCCCATCTTTGCTTGCTCCTTCTTAGTATTGCTAGCAAAGCACCAATCAGAATTAGAGAATCCGTCTGTTGGAAAGG